GCTAGAATTAAATTAATTAAAGTTTATAATCGAAAGTAAACTCCTAGAGGGATCAACAACTCAGACTCAAAAAGTCCACTTTATTACTTGAATGCTACACGTGCTATTGCGGTGTACATTTTCAACGAACAAGATTTTTGTGTCACTGTCTGGAACTATTTTTATTTTGATTACCATTTTAGTTAATTATAATTTTAACAATTTTTTTATTTAATTTTGTTTATATTTATTTTTATATCTTTTGGCTAGCCCCTAATGTTTTAATCTATATTATGTTTATATTCTCTCACTGTATTTTTTGAATATGAGTATGATTCTTGCTTGGTAAAGTAATGAAACTTTTGCAATGGATAATCTCTACGTGAATTATGAAAATATGTTTGGAGGATATCCAAGTTGTGAAAATTGTGCGATACATTGTACTTGGCCATGCTTCATAAATTTGTTTACATACGCCAAAACTTATTAGGTTAAGAAAGTACTTAGTGGTAAAAATAAGCAATTGACAAAAATGATGAAGATTATATCCTAGTAGGAGATTTTGTACCTTACAATTGGGATGAGGACATGGAGATGGTCCTTCCCTATTGAACTAGAAGGTACTTGCAAAGTACTACAAAAAACTTGCCTTGTTGGATGAAAGTGATATGCTTATAGGAGATTATATGTACTGGGAAGAAATTCAACAATGGTAGTATAATCCACTTGAAGTAGTCAATGAGACCGACTTCTCACTGTCCATGGATTTAAATTGTGGATCGACCATTTAGTTCGAACAAAGACCAACGATTGTAGAAGAGCTTAAAGTGAAGGAGAATTTAACCACAAAGGAATAGATCAAAGATACAGAAATCAATGAAGACAAAATCAACATACATTCACCTGACTTCATTGATTGCATAGAAATTGATTTTGTGATTAAGTTCAATGAGGAGGTGGAAATCTACATTGCTGAGTTAGAATTAGATAGAATGGAAAAGTCCTACTACATTGGAAAGGGCAATGTCGAGGTTTAGAGAAATAATGAAAAGTTGATCAAAGTCAAACGAAGAAAAATGGGCAATATATTGAAAGCTTTCTTTAGATACCCATGATTCAATTGTTAAAGTCGAGCTAAAGACTAATATACACACACCCACACACACACACACACATATTGGGAGTCAATTTTCTAACTTTCGATCTTCTCATTTACTTTTATGCATTTTCTTATTTTAATTTGATTAGCTATAGCTTTTTGTAGGATACATTTGAAATCCCATTTATTCATGGTACTAAGCTAAGTTTGGAGATAAATTGGTGTACAAGAAGGTCACATCCCCAATTTCATCAAACACATCACAAATTCAATTCAAAAACTGGTACATCTTCACAAATATACAATCGAGGAATTTTTGTTATCTCACTTTCCCTTTTATCTTGTTCTTTACACATTGATAACAATGTGAAATTTATGTTTAAAAGTGATTGTGCTTATTTTGTTGACATATCAGATAGCCTTGCCGACTAAGGATTGTTTGATGTTTAAAATTGTTTATTCACGAACTATGACCAAATATGCTATTTGTGCTTAAAATTTTCTAAATTTCTTATCCATTGTAAGATCTTGAGTTAATTTGAGCACAATAGTCATGATTAATTGTTATTTAGATGTGAAAATTTTTTTATTGATGGAGAGATTTTTGAATAGGTAGAACTAGGTTGTAAGTTGTGTTTAAATTTATATCAAATAAAAATTCACTTCTCTTTCATTTAACAATGTTGTAAACCCAGTTTGGTGGTTGTCGAGCCAGTGAAGGATATTATCTAGAAGTGTGTTGATTCCATGCATGTTGGAAAAAATAAAAAAAAAAATTGTGTGGAGTGCCTTTTGTTAAATATAAGCTAGGTAATGACTATATGTTAGAAGATTTAAACCCCATGTAGTTTTGTTGTGCTTAAAAAAGAACATCGTACTAGTTGATTTCTTGCCCACTCTGTAGTCTTTTTTACTTAAGTTATTTAGTTCGTAGAGGTATCTCAAAACCCAATACACATTGGTGCAAAAAATCGTGGAGTTATCAACCTAAAGCGCACTATATGGGTCAAGAAGAAAACTTAAGGGTGTGAGATCAGTCTGATCTTCAATTCAAAATAAAAAATAAAATTGATAGTGTGCAATTTGTTTAATATTTTGATATTAGATTACTAGTGGGTTGAATTATTTAGTAAAGGCTTAAATGTTGAAGCACTCGTTAGTAAAGAATCATCACATGACTAGATGTTAAAATTACTCGTTAGGCCTAACCGAGCAAGAGCTGGAAAAAAAGTCAGTGATTTGAAGACATATACACGGATCGAACATTGGATAAGCTTAAGTTATTTTTATTAGCATTATTTGAAGCATATTTGTAAATTGTTTATACAATTTTGCACTCAAAGATAAGTTGGAAGTTATGTAATGTTCTAATCATTATCACATTTTGCTTGACTGTGTTGTAGATAATCTTGTTTGGGACGAGTAAGAGCATAAGTTTTGGGGTGTTGATAAGTGTGTTTTTGCATGCTTATATAATAGTAAATAAGCTTAAATACTGATTAAAGGAGCTAATATCTGCTCACAATTATATAATTATAGCTTTTATAGGTAAAAATCAACCAAGGAAATATATAATAATGCACAAAGAAGTGAAAATAGACCAAAAGTGTACAAAATTTTGAAGTTGAAGACCGAAGTGCATAAGTGTAAAAGTTCAAGGACATGGGGTTGTAATATTTTGAAGGCATGGTTGCTATGAAAGTCGAAATCTGAAAATCAAATTGTACAAAATCAGAGTTAAAGAACATAGCGTTAAAATATTGGTGGACCTGAGCTAGAAATTGCTAAAAAGGGGGTAATGCTTAGGCACCATTGTAGCAGCATCTAGACACCAACTCGCTATCCCTTTTATCGATTTTGGGCTCCGACGCACTCAGATGCCCCGTTTCTGATGAAGCTTTTTTCATGCTTTTCCAAATTTCCAGGGCCTCTGCGCTATTTTGACAACCTTCTTTTATGGTTTTAAAAGACTCATTTCATCCACTTGAGCCCCCTTTCTCATTTTCCATGTTCTTCATTCCATCTTCTTTTCTTTTTCTTTTCGTTTTCTTTTCTTTCTTTTTCCTTTCTTCATTTTTTCTTTCATTTTATTGATAATTTGGAGGAAAGATTAGAGCAATCAAAGGAGATAAATTAAAAGAAAAGGTGGCGAAAACTTGGGGAACTAAAGATAGACCATCTACTGCTTCACAAATCTAATGAAAGGGGTTTTTGTTAAATCCTGTTTCTCCATTATTTTCCATCTTTTGCGATGTATTGGATAAATGTTCTATTTCATTATCATATACTTAGCGTGGTTGTGATTTATGATTGAAACTTAATCTAGCTTATTTAATTTCAATATTTTCTTTTTAATATTAAAATGCTTATGTCCATGTATATTTACTATAGTACTTAATTTGTGCTATTCATTTATTTAGCAAATAAATGTTTGTGTTAAGTGATTTGTACATCATTTTAGAGAAAATTGTGTTTCTTAGATTAATTAGTAAATGCCCCAGGTTCTGTAGAGGATAGAGATATACTCTAATCCTAGATGAACCTTTGAGATATTTTCAGAAGGGTTTAATGCAGTTGTTTGGTTTTAATTGATGTAGAAATATAGTAAATTAAATCAATCAATTAGGGATATTTTGACTCCAGAGAGATAATTAACTAAAATTGAAAAATCAGGTCTAACATTTTAAATACGTAATTTGTTAATTGACATGTAGAGAAATTAATTAGGCATAAATTAAATGAAACCATGAATTTCACCCACGGTTTCCTCTGAAATTTCCAAATGTTTATGTCTTCTTAGTTTATAAAGTTTTAGTTCTTCAAATCATAATTTTAATAAAGCGTGTTTCTTTTTATTGTTATAATTAAAGTTGTGTAATTGAAAGTAAACTCCTTGAGGGTTCAACAAATTGGATTTAAAAGTTTATTTTATTACTTGAATATGACCGCAAACTTACGACGTATATTTTTAACGAACATTGACCTTTTCAAACTCGTAAATTTTGTTTTAAACATTAAAGAGTAAACAGTTGACCGTATCACAATGGTAACTATATTTTGCACCCATAGCATTCTGTCAAATCTATGAATAATTGTGACATGATTGTACACTAAAGTTGATATTCCTCGTTAACAATGCACAGTAAATATTTGTATATTTAAAAATTAAGAAATAAAATATGCCTCTCAACAAGGAAAATAACCTATGATTTGGGATAGATAAAAAAATAAAATAAGTTTTTATCTTTATGAGATAGGGGAATACTTTTTCTATTTTTATTTTTTTTAACAAATTGAGTACTAGTGTGTTCACACTTCGGAAATTACAATATGCAAATTGTAATTTTAATTAGAAAACATAGAACATGTCAAATGTATAAACTGTTATTTATGCAGTATATATTTCGTAAATCATTTCGTGTTTATTTTTGACGAAAACTTGCATTTACTTGTTAATACTTAAGAAATAATGGTATGCATTATAGACCTGTGAAAGTAAGACATGTAGTGTAATTACATTCCATATCCACATGAGTCGGGTAGCTTTATAATTTTGCAACAAAGGAGTTTTATACATGCGTTATAAAATTTTATAATTTTCAATCAGAGCTAGTCCTGTGTTTGATGGGCCCTAAGGCGGACGATGAAAATTAGGCCCCCCAGCGACAAAATTCAAAGGTGTATTATGCGACTTATTGTTAACTTAAAAAATTAACATTAAAACAACAACGAAATATATCATAGAAACGATTTATATTATAAATCATCAAACCAAAAATTCAAACAATTAGTTAAATACTATTCGTCTTGCTATTTTAGAGGCAAAAACATCAATCAAATCTGAATAACTTGGCTGATCAACCATTTCTTTTTCTATTGATAACATAGCCAACCCGTTTAATCTTTTTTGTGACATAGTTGATCAGAGATAGGTCTTAATCGACTCCAATTTCGAGAAACTTCTTTCCGCAGATGCAGTTGTAACCGGTACGGTTAACAAAATTTCGTAAGCAATATAAGCATTTGGGAAACAAATATCCAATGTCTTCAAATAGTGTAGCACTTCAATTGCTCTTGTTGCTTCATTTGGTAAATAAATCTTCAAGACTTGTAACTCCGAACATAAATCATCTCCACTGATATCCGAAAGCCTATTATGTTCAAGATATTTCTCAAGATTCATACAAGAGTTCAACAAACTTGATAAAGTTGCACTCCTTAACCTCTTCAAATTAAACAAAAATCCAAATATACCATCATATTGTTTGAATTGCTCAAATCGAGTCCTCAGAAAAGATAGAGTTTGATCAATTATAAAAACAAAGTACTCAACTCTAAATAATTCTTCTGCTGATTGCTTTACCTCATTACTACAGTTTTCATCAAATTGCTTTTTTCTTCAAATTATGCTTTTTTCTGTAAATACAGCTTCAATTCCCATTTTGTTTGCCTTTTTTGTCGCTTCATCCATGGCAATGGCAAATCCAAATTCTCTATAATCTTCAAGAAATGAAACAAGTCCTTACAATAGGTCGATAGCATGATCAATATCCATGGATTCAGTTTGAAGAAATTTACTCACAATATTGACTACATGCAACAACCTGTACCAGATTACCATGCCAAGCAAGAACTCAAAATTCTGGAGTTCATGTGTTGCCAACGACTCGATTTCACTCTTTACTTTAGGATCTTCGTTAGTTTCTACCAAATCAAGTAATGCTTCTCTTATCTATGCAGTTTTCTCCATTATAGGCTTCACACTCTCAACATGACTTTCCCAACGTGTTTGTGACAACGGCTTCACTGTCAACCCTTTTACATTATCTTTAAAAATTTGTCATTGCTTGGTAGAAGATGAAAACAAAGTGTAGATGCGTTGTATCACTCCAAAGAAGGATACAATTTTGGAACAATAATTCACCATGTCACATAACGCTAGATTTAGACTATGAGCACCACATGGAGTATGGAAAGCTCGGGGATTCATTTCGTGTACTCTTCTTTGCACACCTTTGTGCTTTCCACTCATGTTAGATCCATTATCATACCCTTGCCCTCTAATGTCATCAATATCCAGATCGAGTTTGATCAAAGCCTTTTGAAGCTCGGTTGTAAGTCCAAGTCCCGTTGTATCATCTACCTTCAAAAATTCAAGCTAATGTTCTTCAACTGTAGGTAAGTTTGTCGAATCATCTACAAATCGTACTATTAATGACATCTACTCCTCCTGACTTGAATCTGGGGTACAATCAAGTATAACTGCAAAATATTTTGCATGTTTAACTTTCTTGACAATTGCACTTCTCACCTCATTAGCTAACAACTGTATGAACTCATTTTGAATTTTTTTGCCAAGATACGTGTATTGAATCTCTTTTGCATTAGCCCGACGAAGGTGCTCTTTCATTATTGGATCAAATTCACTAACCATTTCCACCATTTGTAAAAACAGACCATTGTTATCAACATTTAGCCTCTCATCATCTCCTCGAAATGACAAGGTGTTTTTGACGAGTCTTTTTACAATAGTGATTATTCTTGTTAATACATGCCTCCAATGTTCTCTTTCTGCATCGATCAACAATCCAATGCTTTTATCAATTGTAGTTTTTGTTCGAAGCCTATTTTCCAATTCAATCCAACTAGTCATGCAACATAAATGCTCTTCATTTCCTTCATGACTTTTAATAGACCGATGCAAATTATGCCAATCTTTGAATCCATCGTTACCAAGTTGGCCAACTTTGGTAACATTTTGGGTGTTTTAAACAACTTGCAACAAAAGCAAAAGATCCTATTCATAGATATTGAATATACTACCCATCTTCTATCAATTATTTGCCCATTTCGTAGCAATCACTTATATTGTGAAGAATCAAAATGCCTATTTGTACAATCTTTTGGAAATGAGATGTCATCAACTCTTTTTGGATCCCTTTCAACTAAGTAATCCCTTGTTATCTGATCAATGATTTTCCAATTCCCGGGATCATCCAAATTTAGAGAAAAGCAACCCTCTTCTTCCTTGTCATCTACTTCATTAACACATGCATGTTTCATCACCTCTTCTTTCTTATCATCTACTATATTAACATAGGCAGGTTGACTCACTTTTTCATCTTTATCATATTCTTCATTAACACATGCAGGTTGAATCTCTATTTCATCCTCATTCAACGTATTCACATTCTTGCTTTTAAAGTACTTGCTAATATCCCCTGTTTGACTTTGAATTAACGAAATTTCATTTCGTTTCCTTTTTCTCTTTTGAGCACCAGACTCATATTTAGGAGGCATGGTGTATGAGTCTATATCTGATGCCCAATGATTAACATAAAAAATAATTACAAAATATCTCAAATCATCACACAGTTAGAGTTTTCAATATAGTTATTATGTGCACCTGTGCAATTGTTGATCCTCTAATAATCAATCATATAAGCCGACCAGGCCATATTTATATAAGCCAACAAGGCTTCAAACATTTTTAATTTCTTCGATGACAAGTTAAGGCAAGCCATTGCTTACCTGACAAGTAGAATTTCGATGAAACTGTGGAGTTACACCTTCAAGAATTCCACTGTCACAAGACTCACAACTCCCAACCCTAAAACAAAAATTTCACATCAAACGCTATTACAAATATTAACATGATCATCAAATTACACGCTAATACAAATATGAACATGATAGGAATATTGATTTCCATATTCAAATAAATATTATCAATCATCTCATAATTAAAGTTGTCGTTCAATGGTTAATTGATTATTGACTCTTTTGCTTACACGTATATATGTATGAAATCGATGTAAGCTTTTGGTTTCGTCGGGTTTCCACATTGTTGTTCGTCTTTTCATTAAATTTAATGAAATAATTTTTTATTACATCACTTTAGATCACTTACAATTACTTGTTACCAGATTATCTTCAAAAAATCTGCCAACAAAAGAGACCTGACAGTCCATCTTTACACTTCTTCTATCCTCAAAGTTTAATTCTTAATATCATTATCCTTAACTTTTTATGAATTAGTAGCTACTGTTTCAAATGAGTGTTCCATCCAAATTTTCCATTAAGTTGTTGTAAAGACACAAAATTGCTCTTCCACTCAAATAAGTAATAAATAAATATATTCATAATGAATCACCTAATTGTATAATTATAAAAATAGTGAACTGTTTACATTAATTTTTTACTAATAGCTTATTAATCTCCATTTTTTACACATCTTCATCGATTAGTTACAGGACCGGCTCTGCATTGAACTTTTCTGAAGTATATCCATAACTAAAGATGCTATACATCATGTGCACAATCTTGAACTTTGTCATCAAATTACCAATAGAAATCTATAGAGCCCAACACAAGTCTCGCTTGTAGCCCACAACAGAGACATCTAAATTAACCTGCGTAAAGAATTATTATAACTGAAGTTTAAAGGTTCAATTACAACATGATTTGGGTAATCAGAGTTTGGTAGAATATCCTTACAAGTTGCTCAAGTGTTTCATCCAATAACTGTATATAGTGGTATCATATCTGCAGATGTCAAGATCTCGTGCTCAAAAGTCAAAACTTCGGTCAATAGGATTATAGGAAAACTGATTGTAGAGAAACCCAATGAAGACCTACTAAAATTCAACATCTATTTTATTTTAAAAAATAGAAGTAATTTAGTTTCCATTTGTTTTGATGTCATTAGATTTATTAGAAGCTTAAACATTTTACATACTTCTAGTACTGACTTCGATCTCTCTTCCAAGAGTTGGAATTGATCAAATATTAGTTCACTTCGATAAGTAACAATACTACATCAAAATAAATTTATACTTCTACGACATGCCACATTGAATCGAGTCAACAGTAGCTTTCTAGTTTGTCAATGCTTAGATATATGTCAAATAAATTCTTCTAGTTGCACAACCATCTTCTCTATTTTTAGAATCCCCTATATACTACATTAAGTGACGGCAAGGCTGACCTAGTACTGCAGGTGACTCATCTATGCTACATGACCTAAATTATGCAAGAATGTTAACCAATCAACTTCAGTTAACATAGTGTTCTATGTCGGTAAGCTTAACTTGTAGTTCATTCCAAATAAGCAGTTCACTGAGGGCAATATGGAAAAATAGGAAAGGTAATACTGATACAATCACCTGCCAAAGAGAAGAGAGCAACCGGCTTCATGAAACCAATCAATAAATTCGAAGGATTTGGGGAGTTTTGGAGTGAAGCTTCAACAGAAATCGACTTGGGGATTTTTTTGATTTCAGGGATTTGGGGGTTTTAATTCAATTGGGAAAAGATAAAATCCTACATGAAAGATCAATAATCACCTGGTCGCTGCCCTGCTGGTCCAGTTGGAGTTGAAGTCTTGGAAGTCGGAGGCGACGTCGTACTGGTCGTCTGGTCGTAGGCGGAGCAGTGACTCGCATCGCAGGAGGGAAAGGGATGAAAAAAATGTTTTCCTTTCGACTTTCACTTCATTATTTAAAAAAAAAAAATTGGCCAAAATGAGGCCCCCATCCTGTTTTGGGCCTGAGGCGGAGGCCTCATGGGCCTCGCCATAGGACCGGCCCTGTTTTCAATATATATCCACAAGATGGATCATTAACCTTTGTCATTAGATAGAAAATGCGGTGGGAGATATAATTAGGTGCTTTCCCTAATTTAGGACCATTTGAATCTGATCTATCATGACTTCAGCAAATCACAGCTTTTCAGATGTTAAGTCTCTGACAAAAATCCACATGACAAGAACGAATTCAAACTCCAACACAGAAAATCCACAATTAACTACTGGATACTAAGATAATTAGGTTTAGGATTAGTTCAGTTCTTGCCTTTTGTGTATGATTCATAAAGTTGCCATTCATGATGACAAATGTCATGATGTTATTAGTTTAATTTGATCAAAATATGATGATGTGAAACCGCATAGTAACGGAAATTATGAAACCCACAAAAGATTGTACGATCCAAGAAAGCAAAATTTAATCTCGGTTTGTGGACTTGAACTAAAAACAATGAACCAAGCAACCCCACAATACAAAGCATTCTTGATTACAAAATTCGAAATTCGCACCTGATGTTGAATGTCACAAGATTTTCACTTTGATTAGTTCAAATTGTTCTAAGAAAAACAACGGAATGAAAGAAAGAAAATTGCCTCTCTTTTATTTCTGTCAAAATAATGTATTGAAATTGTACAATGAAAGGAATAATAATATATTCATACTAGCCCTAAATTCTAGTGAAAAATGGAAAATATCAATAGAAGATTACAAAATTTTTACCAAAACTAGAATTCTATCAAGATAAGGAAATTCACGAAAAAGGAAAATTTTTGTCCTGAAACATAACCATGTGACCGCATAGTTCATTGGCTTGCAGTTGCACAAGCCACTCTAGCAGCCTTCCTTTAGTTTCAGACTACCACCATGCGACTACATGGTGGATTGCACTGTGCGATCGCACATTTCATTCCTCTGGTTGCATCTTTGTCCACGCGTATCGGGTTGATCCAACTATTTTCTGCCTTCGACCCCAACATGGAACTTGCCTCATTTCTCGTCACGATCATCATTTCATCAATTGTTTGATTGAACAAGTAGCCCCATCACTTGATTTTCCCATTTTACCCTCGATCGTGTCATCGGTCCACCTTCGATAATCAATGGGTCTTGTCCTGAGCTCGGCTCTTGAAACACATCATCCCCTTCCTCTTCAAAAGGCTTCACTATCGAATCTGTACCTTTATCAAAGAGAGAGATCAAATACATTAAATTTTTTTGAATCATTATACTCACCTAGGAGATCAAACTAGTAGGTGTTGTCATTGATCTTCTCAACAACTTGAGATGGTCCATTTCCCCGTGGTTGCAATTTTGATTTTCTCTGCTTTGGAAAGAGCTCCTTTTTGAAATGTCCCAAACCCAATCACCTTGTTCGAAGGTTGTGCTTTTCCTGCCCTTTTTTGCTTGTGATGCAATAAGTTTGTTCTTGTCTCAGTCCACATCCTAACCTTTTCATGGAGTGACTTTACTAATTCAGCCTTTCTTTTACCGTCTAAGCTCCAATGTTAATTACTAGTAAAAGTAATAAATCTATAGGTGTTAGTGGATTAAAGCTATAAACGATTTTAAATGGTAAAAATGAAGAAGTATAGTAAATGACTCTATTATATGCAAACTCCATGAATGACAAGCACTCATCCCGACTTTTTAAGTTTTTTCTCATCACAGTGTACAACAATTAAGTCATTGTCCTATTAACTACCTTAGTTTACCCATTGGTTTGTGGATAACGAGTTGTAAAAATTAGTAATTTTGTACCTAACTTACCCCACAAACCCGCCAAAAATAACGCAAAAATTTAACATCCTTATCAGACACGATACTCTTAGAGACTCCATATAATCGCACTATCTCCTTA